GAAGTTGATGCTGTGCTGGAGAGTCTCTCAGATGCGGTAGAAAACTCACTAATCCCAGTAACAGTGTTTCTTTCTGCACCTTCTGGAGTGGCACCTGTGGTTTTCACGCCTTTAGTAGAAGTAGCTGAGGCTGACTCAGTCGCATTTTCTGGCTCTGGCGTTGTATTCAAATCTGTTCTAAGTGCAGTGGGAGTAGTTGTTTCCTTTCTGCTAAAGTTGCTTGTCGGGGTTTGATTAACAGTGTGCCCGTTTTCGGTTTTGGCTCTGTCAACAGCGGTCGGTGCCGCTGAAGACGAAGTCACTGTTTCTACTCGCTTTGAACTTTCTGTACTCATTACTGAAGGCATCGCATTTGTTTGTTCAGTAAACCCTTGCTCCATTTGAGTGGATGAAGCGCTTACTGTTGGAGAAAGTTCAATCTTTTCATCCCTAGTGCTAGTAGTTGTCGAAAAAGACTGCATTTCTGTGGTTAAATCTGACTCATGTGGAGGTAGACTCTCTTGAGTAATAATCATTTGGGGACCAGCTTCTGGCAGTGTCAAAGTGGTCATGGTCGATCTGTCATTCACTTCGATATTCGAGGTAACAGTGATAGTTTGTGTCTTGCTGAATGTTGCAGCTTCCAATCCTAATGTGGAGGTAAAACCGGAACCTTCCGAATCCGTACTTTCAGGTAAAAATGATGGCTCTGTCGAAGAACCTTCAAAAGCAGGAGTGGCCTGCTCTGGTATAACTGTTTTGTCAAAAGCCCCACCGCTAATGGGGGCGTCTGGGGAAATTTCCAGAGCACTAGTGGTCTCTGTTATATCCTCTGTTCGAGTGCTCGTTTCCACTAGTGAAGTTCCTTTCTTGGTGACCGATGTTGTTGGAGTAGCTTCTATGTCTCCTATTGGGATTCTTGTCACATCGGTACTTACAGAGCTATGTTCAGATGTTGAAGAAGAGCTAATACTGCTTGTCTGAGTTATGAGCTGTGATACGACTGTTATACCAGAAGTGGCCTCGCTAATGGGAGCATCTGGGGAAAATTCCGGAGCACTAG